GCAAAGAGATCCAACCAGTCCATCCTAAAGGAGATCAGGCCTGAGTGTTCATTGGAAGGACTGATGCTGAAGCTGAAACTCCAATACTTTGGCCACCTCATTTGAAGAGTTGACTCATTGGAAAAGACCCTGATGCTGGGAGGGATTGAGGGCAGGAGGAGAGGGGGACGACAGAGGATGAGATGGCTGGATGGCATCACCAACTTGATGGACATGAGTCTGAGTAAACTCGGGAGTTGGTGATGGACAGGGAGGCCTGGCGTGCTGCGATTCATGGGGTCGCAATGAGTCGGACACGACGGAGCGACTGAACTGAACTGAATTAGAACAGAACTTGTTTTCAAGGAGAAGGTAAGTAAATGTAAACACTTAATTATTAGTCTAGTGAAACAAGTTTCCCATTGCTGTAGTTCTTTTCTCTTTCCAGGAGTGGCCCTCCACAGAGATTCATATTCACAAGAGTAGGGAAACCTGTGTTCAAGTTTTTTAACTCCTGTGTTACCAAGCCTGCATAGAGTCTGGGGTGGTCTGGAAAAGAAGGAAGTTAAAGGTTGTCTTTTCTCACCACTCCAGGTAGAGTCCAGTGCAGGCTGGGGGGCAGGGGGGATTTGGAAATTAGGGTCTTCTCTCCAGTGGGCTGAGGAGGTTCTACCCTTCCTTTCATTTATGGGTCCCGGCAGGTGTGACCTATTAGCTCCCATGAGCCTACTGTCTGCTTCCTGAAGGCTTCCTGGACGTCGTCTGATTCTTTCAACGTGCAGGGGCCTCCCAGCCCTCGAGGCCAGGAGTTAGGCACCTGGCTGCCAGCACAATGTCTGCACATGCAACCGGAGGGAGACCCCTTCCAGGGCCCGAGAGTGAGCTCTCGTCTAACACTTGGAAATGAATTGTCCAAGGAGACACACATACTGACAAAACGAAAGACTTTATTGGCAAGGGGGTGGAGAACGTCAGGGTAAGGGAACCCAGGAGAACTGCTCTGCACATGGCTCACTGTCTCAGGGTTTATGGTGGTGGGGGGGTTAGTTTTTGGGTTGACTCTGGCCAGTCATCTTGCTTGTGCTCATACTTGGTCTGATCAGGGTTCTTTCTAGTGGGGCGGGCATCTCTCAGCCAAGATGGGTTCCAGCGTGAAGGTTTCTGGGAGGTTGGCAGACTATATCGCCCTCCTGATCAGGACCTCCTGTAGTGAGACTCGTAGTTCATGCAAATGGTTATTATTGTGCCTGGCCACAGCGAGTGGTTTTGGTCACTGGTTCCCTATCAAAAAGACAGGTCCTCAGACACAAAGATTCTCCAGTCCTAATAAAGCACGTGCAACAGTCAGCCTCACATTTAGACTTCAAATAGCACTGCATCCCTAGCTCTAAGGCCCTTTTGTTGTTTAATTGCCAAGTCGTGTCCTCTTTTGCAACCCCATGGCTACATGGACTGTAGCCACCGGGCTTCTCGGTCCATGAGGTTCTTCAGGCAAGAATACTGGAGTGGGTTGCCATATCTGGAAGTCAAAGGAAGAAATTCTCAATACAAAGTGCAATGTTTGGGGTGACCCCTACATTCTATAGTGTTCAGCTTGTACGTTACTTCATTTGATCTAACCCTTGTTTTCCTTTCTTGGCTATTTTATCTTCATGAATGTGTTAGGCATCAATTCCCTAAAGTCCCCTATTTCTCTTCTACTGCCAGGCCTCATTTCCAACTTATAGGGCAATTTGTGACTTCACTTGGCTAATTCTGGGAGAGTCCCTGGGTGGCTTTATCCTGCACACATAGTCATTCCCTGTCTGTTTTCATTTGAGAAAATGTCCTGGGGGTGGGGGATGAAGGGGTCCTGCCCTTGTGGCGTTTGTGCTTCGTGGGTTTTGCTCTCTGTCAGAGAGATTATGACCATCCAGCACATCATACTGTAGCCATAGAGTATATCCATCCTGTGATGGGCTTTTCAGGTGGTTTCCTTGGCAACCAGACCTACTAATCCTCCCCCTCCCCCAACTTACCAGTAACTGGAAAAAGCACATAATTGGTTTAGTGGAGTTACAAACACTAACACATCTTTATGCACCTGCACAGACTTTTAACTCTTTAGAACTCATTTCTTAAAGAGACTAAGCTTCCTTTCCAGAGCCACTGGAAAGTGCGTTTCCAAAGATTGGAATGTTTAAGATCAGAGGGACCTCCAGGATCAATTAGTCACCTCCCTGTTTTACAGAGGAGGCCCACACGGACGACACTCAGAGATCCCACAGCTGGTCATGAAGGAGTGGGGCCACACCCAGGGCCTCCTGCCTGGTCCCCGGCCCTTACCACTGCACCAGGGGCCACCCCCGTTCTGAGTGTCACCAGTGGCTGGCCAGCATGTGCCACAAAGGTGTCCCTGAGAACAGCAACTGTTTAACATTGTTTGGAGTGTTCCCTGCCCCCCAGGAAAGCGCTGACCAGTAGTTACTTCATTCACTTACTAATGCCTGACCTAAGTTTCTTTAATATGAATTGATGGTCATAATCCTAATATGCAGCTACTTGCTCCATCACGGAGAGGACAGCTGTAAGTGGATTTGTGAGAGTTTGCAGCAAATGCACAGAAATGTGGAAGTTCTAAACACATTGATGCTGTCTTATCCTTGCGCCTTACTGGGAAAGAGATAATGTTCTTAGGCTATTTGCTAATCTTTCTCATACTTAACTTTGATGAATACCTACATCTCTCGGTGGCAAAATTACACATAAAATAGGAGTGCAGTAAGTACCTAAGAACATATGAAAAGAATGTATGTAAAGTATGTAATGAAAAATGCCTCTAGCTTACATCATTTACCTCTGAGACAAGAGGGTGCTGAGAATGGGGTTTGTTGCTAATTCCATGGTTTTTATATAAAAACCCTCAGTCATACAGAGTAATCAGATACTTTAGAAAACTGAGCTCCATGTTCAGTCTTCCGTCTGGATTAAATAAATACCAGTTCTGTGTCTTTCATATTAGCCATGAGTTTATTTATCTAGCACTTTCTTCTATCGCTTTTTTTTTCTTTCATTGACATCTTGGTTGTTGGCAAACCGACCGAGCCAAAATTTGTGTTGCCCCAACAGGTACAACCAATTTTAATTTATTTTTGACCTTCTCATTTTCCATCCCCAAAGAAAAGGGCCACTGAAAACAATGTTGCCCTTGGGCTAGAGAGGTTTAACATTTTCCCTAGAAAACTTTTGTTTCCTTTTCTTTGGTCCTTCTTGTTTGTAATTTGCCTTTACTTATTCTAGCTAATATTCCTTTTTTTGGTTATAATACTCTCTCCACCAATAGGTTAAGCTGTATTACAATTCTCTGAATTAGTTTTAGCCTTACAAAGACTTCTTCAGAAGTATATAATTATTTTTCATCTTTGCACTAAAGATAGCTTCCTGAAATTACAATGAATCATATACATATCTCTCCATGCATTGTACCGAAGTCACCTCTTTGTGCTGATTCTGAGGTTCCTCCCCCAATCACCCTGGGTTCCCCATTCCAAAGAGCAAGAGTCTGAGTTGCGCTATGGTTTTTCATTTGCTGTTACTCTGCATTAGCATATTCAATAAAACTGCCTCTTGCATGTTTCTGTTTGCAAGGATGCTACATTACTAGAGAATTTAGAAAAGTGTTTCCATCTAAAAGGTGTACATTAGCTCTGAGTTGTGGGTCAAAGCTAACCATTAAGATAGGCATGGCCATATTAACTTTGTACTATTTATTAACAAGAGCCAGAAGCAAATCAGGGCAAAGAGGAACCATATTGGTTTCTTGTTGCTGCTGTAACAAGTTATCCCCCAAATTTAGTGGCTTTGAACAATACAAATTTATTCTCTTACAGTTCTAGAAGTCAGAAGTCCAAAATCATTTTCTTTTTTAAACTTAATTAATTTTATTATTTCTTTGGCTACGCTGGGGCTTCATTGCTGCACATGGGCTTTCTTTAGTTGCGGTGAGCAGGGGCTGCTCTGTAGCTTGAGTGAGCGGGTTTCTCGTTTCGGTGGCCTCTCAGGTTTCGGCATGTGGGCTCAGTAGTTGTGGTGCATGGGCTTCACTGCTCCTCTGCATGTGGTATCTTCCCGGACCAGGGAGCGAACCTGTAGCCACTGCACTGACAGGCAGATTCTTATCCAGTGGACCACCAGGGGAGTCCCCAAATCATTTCCAGTGACTAAAATGAAGGTGTCAGCAGGGCTGGTTCCTTTGGGATGCTCTGAGGGGAGAATCCATTTCCTGCTGTCACCCTGTCACTCCTCTCATCTCCCTCCCTTCTTAGAAAGACCCTTGCAATTCATTAGACCCATCCAGATAATCCAGGATAACCTCTCCCACTTAATCACATCTCCAGAGTGTCTTTGGCCACATGAGTGAGTGATAGTCGCTCAGTCGTGTCTGCCTCTTTGCGACCCCATGGACTGTAACCCGCTAGGCTTCTCTGTCCATGGGATTCTCCAGGCAAGAATACTGAAGCGGGTTGCCATTTCCTTCTGCAGGGGATCTTCCCAACCCAGGGATAGAACACGCGTCTCCTACGTTGCAGGCAGATTCTTTACCATCTGAGCCACCAGGGAAGCCTACGATGAAAAGACATCTCTGAGTATAAAGACAAGGCCACTTAAAAAGTATCAGCAGATACATGCTTGAGTAGCCAATTCACAGATTCTGGAGATGAAGTGGATTTCGTTGGAGACTGACCACAGGACCACCGGGTGTCCCTCTCCTGAGTTTCTGTGGCCTCTCCTGCGGAGGCTGGGCTGGCTGGGTGGGATGGGGAGTTGTTTGTGGGCGGACGTGCAGACACCCAGCTCCCCATCTGCAGCACCCTGCAGTGGCGGCCAGGTCTCAGCTACCTCCCCGGGGCTATCAGGTGGGTCGCAGGTGCTCTGGGGCCGGACCAGTCGCCCTTCCTCACCCTGCCATCTTTCCTTTCCAGCATCGAGTCAGTGCCCGGAGGCCACCGTGTAAAGCAAGCTGAGAGGGAAACTAAGGCAAGATGTCGGGCCGGAGCGGGAAGAAGAAAATGTCGAAGCTGTCGCGTTCAGCCAGGGCCGGGGTCATCTTCCCGGTGGGCAGGCTGATGCGGTACCTGAAGAAAGGGACGTTCAAGTACCGGATCAGCGTGGGTGCTCCCGTCTACATGGCCGCAGTCATCGAGTACCTGGCAGGTAATGTGAACACGCTGGGCAGGTAACCCTCCCCCCGACCCCCACACCCAGGCTGGGCAGGGGAGCCTTCATTCATCCTGTGGCTGTCTCAGGGTCGCTGTGGGCAGTATTGGGGTTTCGGCTTGCCTGATTGACTAAAACTGACTCCTGCAGGCTTTAGGGAAAAGGACAGAGAGAGAATCAACATGAAGGGAAGAGAAACGAAGAGACTTTTCTAGGCCACCCCAGGAGAGGTGTGTCCTGCTGTACACAAATGTAATACGTAAATTTCTGGGTTCCGGCAGAAGACAAACTACAGGGAAGATAGGGGCTTGCTATTCATTTTGCAGGCCAGTTTTTCACTTTTACTTCAGGGTCTTCACTAAACGTCAGTTCTCCTTCTGTACTGAACTCAATGTCCATAAATAATGGACTCAATGTCCATAAGTAATGCTGACCCTGTCATTGAAAGCATCTTCAGTTGGTTCTATAAAGCCAACAATATTTTAATTTTACTCTCCATTACAGAGGTAGTCCTCTGTCTACAGATATATTGGAAATAGTTTCCCATGTTGGTTGCTAAAATTATTATTATTTTTTTTTTAGTGAAAGATGACATTCTTGTTGTGTGTGGTCTCTATCTATTTGAGGACTTTATATTTAGCTTTTTTGTTGTTGCTCTCTTATGTCTTAAACAGAAACCAAACTTCACAGTATCAAAGCATATATACATATATAAAATATATAAGTATAAAAATATGTATGAAGAAATGTGATTAGTTCCTTGAGAGGTCATTTTAGCCATGAGCAACAATATCCTTGACTTTGCCCAAAGTTAACAGATTCTCCAGATACCAGGGTTAAATCCTGGTTAAGTCCATAGGGTTACAGAGCAAACCTCCCCAAACTGTCCACCCGGGAGGCCCAGCTCCCTGCAGCGGCAGCATGACCCAGCGTCTGTCACCAGATCCCTCTTTCCCTCCTGCTCCCCCTTCCAGAGGAGCCTCTTCCTTCTCTTTATCTACTCAGTCCTGTTCCGCCCTCTTGGTCCCCACTGCTCACCAAGCAACACTCACTGGCAGGAGGTTTGCTGTGATCCACCCGTGGGAACTTCCTCCCCCTGGAGCTTCCATCAGGCAGACCTTGGTGTCTTGAGTCTATCTTCTTGTGAGAAGAAACGCTGGTTCCTGAGCTAGAAGTGTTTTGGGAGGATCCTTTAAGAGGGAGAGAAGGGCAGGAGGGATCTGAAAGGCAAACCAATCAAGTCTGATACAGCAGTGCTTCTCAAAGTGGGGGTCACTCTGGGAATCTTGTGGACAAGGTCAGGGGTAAGGCCTGAGACTCTGCATTTCTGACACGCTACAATCATGCTGATGCTGCTGGTCTGGGGCCCACTCAGAGAAGTGAGATTTTAGCCAGTCTTTCAGCAGCATGAATGCTTGTTTAAAATGCAGGTTCCTGGCTGCACAGCCCGCACCCCCAGGGGTCTGATTCACTGGATCTGGAGTGGGACCCAGGAATTTGATAGGAAAAAATCTCCTGACTCAGAGGGAGAGGAGGGACTTTGAAAGTGCTGACTGAAGCTATCAAACAGACTTTTGGACTCTGTGGGAGAAGGCGAGGGTGAGATGTTTCAAGAGAACAGCATCGAAACATGTATATTATCTAGGGTGAAACAGATCACCAGCCCAGGTTGGATGCATGAGACAAGTGCTCGGACCTGGTGCACTGGGAAGACCCAGAGGGATCAGGTAGAGAGGGAGGTGGGAGGGGGGATCGGGATGGGGGAAAAATAAACAAATAAATAAATTAAATAAATAAAACAACCTATCAGGTCCATATCACCCACTGATGCGGGAAGACCCTGAGTAACCCAGAGATGCCATAGCCTCCAAGGAGGGAGCCAGGATTCCCTGAGGTTCTTGAATCCCAAGCCATGCATTTTCTACTTCAATACACTGCCCCATTACAATGTTTGTATAATCAAAATAATTAGTACTTCCAGTGCCTCCATGTAGCCAAAGACTGAAGTGTGCATAATAGAACAAAATTTGGCCTTTTCAATCACCAGTGACTCTCTTCTTTGGTCCACATGTGTTTGATGAGAAAGCTTATGTTTTCCTCTCCGCTCATTCAACAAATATTGGCCAAGCTTCTACCTGTCAGTGCACACAGTAAGTCCTTAGACTTTTTCCTGGTAATAGCATTGGGCTGTTTATATGATTTATCATTTATTTTGGCTTACAGCCACGAAACCCCATAGCAATGCATATTATAGCCTGAATGTCACACTCTGGACTTTGAGACAGCACATCCGTGAAGAATGATGGTGTCTCAAAATAGAATATCACCCATTTTCTCATAGCCCTTCATTCACTCAACAGAAATTTATTGAGCACCTACTATATGCCAGGTGTGGTTCTAGATGCTGAGGATACAGCAGAGACCAAGGCAGACAGGAGTCCCTGCCTTGGAGCAGAGTGCATTCTGGAGAGAGAAACGGTCAACAAATGAGTGAGGTGCATGTGTTCTATTAGATGGTGATACGTGCTCCGGGATGAATAAAGCAGGAAAGGAGTGAGGCTGTTCCAGGAACCTGGGAGCTGAAGGGAGGCCCACTGAGGAGCTGGCACCTGAAGGAGGCCAGGAAGGGGCGTGTGGGGTGGGCCCTCGGGGCAGGGGGAAGCAGGTGAGGGGAGTGTCTAAGATGCAGCAGTGGAGATGGAAGGCTGGGGCTGAGGGAGGGGCTTGAAGGGTAAAAGAGGCCTGAGGGACAGTAGCTGGCCGGGGAAGAAGAGCTTGTCATGAAGGGTTTGAGCAGAGGTGGAGGGATCTGACCTTGCAGGCAGAGGGATACAAGGCTGAAGCAGGGAAAATGGAAGGATGTTAGTTGCAGAGATCCAGGTTAGAGATGCGAGGCTGGGGAGCGGCTGGTGAAGCTTCTGAGGAGGGATCAGAGTACTGAGGGATCTTGAAGGCAGAGTCAACAGGATCTGCTGACAGGTTGGACATGAAGTGTGAGAGACAGGAGGAGGAGCACCAGGAAGGATGGTGTTTCCAATAACACTCCTTCCCAGGGCCAGCCTCCAGCTGTCCTGGGTCAAATGGAGAAGATGAAGCGGGTCGTCTGGCTTCTCTGTGTCCTTTCCATCCCTTCCTTTTGTGCTTTTTCCTCCTCTCCAACCTCAGGCTGGAGTTGAGAGCAGGGGTTTAGATGTCAGTTTAAATCTGGTTTCTCAATTTACCAGCTCCATTACCTTGCACTAATTCCTTAACCTCTCTGGTCTTTGGGTATTTTCAGAGCTAAGCTCCTGTAACTCTATTAATGAGCCACAATATATGTAAAATGTCTGTTGCATAGGATGCACTCAATTAATGCTTATCCTTCTCCTTTCTCTTCTATGAAGAGCTGATGAAATCATTCAGGGTAAAGTGTAATGACTAATCCTTAAAGGTGGTTTATTTGGGGGCTGTATTGCATGTTAATGAGAAGGAGTGTAAGCCAAAGGAATGAATCATTACCGCAAGCCATTGGTGAATAAGTAAAAGGAGGATTTCTGTTGGCTGTTGTTTTGTTTTGTTTTGTTTTGTTTGGGAGAGGGGCATGAATTGACTTTGTTTAGGGAAAGGAGTTGAAAGTGTTCAAGTCTTCCCTCACCCTTGAAATGATCTTCAACATTCATGACAATACTGACTGAGTTTCTCCTTTGGATCAGGCCTTGAAAATACAAAGGAAAACAGACAGATGTGGTCCTGGGTTTACGTTCTAGCAGGGCCAACGAATTAAACACAACAAAAAAGGGACTTCTCTCATGGTCCAGTGGTTAAGACTCTACACTCCCAATGCAGAGGGCTCGAGTTCAATTCCTAGTCAGGGAACTAGATCCCACGTGCCTCAACTGAAGATCCCGCATACTGCAACTAAAACCTGATGCAGCTAAAAAAACAAAAACAAAAACAACACAATAAGATGACATGCCTGTGGGCAGGGTCGCTATATAGAAGCTTTGGAAAGCAGGGGGAGGCTGCCTAATATCAAGCAAGGGCTGTAAAGACCTAAATCAGGTTCTCAATCCTGGTTTTTTAACAAATTGATTGATTTAAAATCCTGATGCCTGGATCTTACTCCCAAAGATTCTGGGATAATTCTGGGCATCAGAATTTTTTTTTAATTTCCCCAAAAGATTCTGATGGGCAGCCATGGTGAGTAATTAGTAGTAGCTGGATAGACTCAGATGGATTGATTATCAGGTTGGGAAGAAATGAGAGGGAAAATCAAAGTTTAGAGGAAGTATATGGCCCCTTGCAGGACCTGGAGGCATTTCTGTGTATGTGGAGCAGAGCTGGGGAATGGGAAGGGTGAGAGATGAGATGGGGGAACAGGGGACAGGGCTTTAAGGGCCACATGAGAATGTGCACATTTTGCACACTCATGCCAGGGAAAGGCATTGAAGGCAGGAGGTGGCATACTGTGGCCCTTCAATATCCATAATGGAGAAGAATATGAAAAAGAATATACAAGAAGCTGATAGGAACCTGAAAGGTTTTGTAGTTGTCTGAAGATTCTTCAATCACTATGTCAAGTGACGCAGATGTTTCTTTCTTCATTTGATGAAGATCAGGGATCTAAACTTACCCTAAAAGCTAGAGGCACCATTTGTCCCCATTGGAATGGCGGGTTTTGCAGCAATTGTTGCATATGGATTATACGGATTGGAAAGCAGGGGAAATACTAAAATGTCTGTTCACCTGATCCACATGCGTGTGGCAGTCCAAGACTGTTGTGGGAGCAATGACTCTTGGTATGTGCTGTTTCCTGTATCAAGAATTCTGGGCAGAATCTAAACCTTAGAAGAGGAGATGCCGTCTTGGTCTTGTTGGTGGTGCTTGCTTTAGACATCTCATATTGAGGTTATATGTTTATATTGAAAATAAGTTGTTTGGGTCAGACAAGAGCATGGTAATTTGAATATCGGCTTCCTTTCTTGCAGGCTTGATTTGTCTGGCGACCGAGTTACTGG